GGCGAGAGGGAGCCCTCCCGGCGGTGCCCGCTCTCTTGCTGTGCGCCAACCGCCGCCCCTGCCGTTTTTCCTCACTTCCAAACTCTCTGGGCCCGGGGCCGTGACGACGGCGAAGGGTCAAAACCCTCTGCCAAAGGGGAGAAGTAGTCGGCCCCGCCGGCACGGTGGGCACCTGCTTTCTTTGGTCAGGCAGAAACGGGTCTTTCCCTCCGCGAGGGAGATGTCCCAGTCTCACGGTGATTCCTCCGAGGGAGGTGAGCCGTGCCCCCTATCTAAAATTTAAGCTGGCGTAACCTCCCGAGATAAACGGGAAAAAATATGCTTACAGATTATTGGGTGCACAGATTATCGGGTTTTCAGCAGTAAACCATCCCTCTTTTCTGCTATGGCAGCGTAGGCTCCAGTGGAGCATTACACAATGCATAGCTTAAGACAAAAGCTTTGGGAGGTCACAACTGCCCCGATTTGTGCTATAAATCAAGGCTGTGATAAAAATGTTCTATACCTCTGTGGGGACATAAACAAAGAATGGATTAGTCTTAAAATATTGCTGGGTATTTTTAGATTGGCATCTTTATTAAGACTAAACCATGCCCATGCTGCAGATCTGTTAAAGGAAGGGTAAGCACAGTTTTCAGTGATAAAGGTTTTTAATTCTCACCACAGGTGCCCTCGCGCTAGCGGAAAGAAGACAGCTCCCCTTACTTTTGCAGCTCTCAACTGGTAGCCTCCAGGTGGCCAGCTAGGCATTCAATTCCACAACGTCGCACTGGCTCATCCAAAACATCAGGACAGTGAAAGCCCCAGCCAGCTTGTGTTTCTTGGCGTGAACGTAGGCCGGAATCACCAGTAAAAGCATTCAGTCTCCATCACTAACTTGCTGGGCCCAGACTGGCCTCTGCCTTCTCCTACCTCTTCTAGATGCTAGAGGATTTTTTTCACTAGGTGATAATGCTGTTGGCCTCTCCAGACAGCCCTTGGTCTACAACCACTTGCCTTTTTTGCTTTCTCAGAAGACATGAAAGGCTGGTACATCAGCGGAGATGAGTTTCCCAACAGCATAGTACACTTCAAGCTTCTATTTAAAGAATTAGTTTGTGGTTAAAGACTAGCTTGAAAGTTCAGAGAATCTGCTTCAGTTTCGGCTCTGCCCAGATTCTCTTTGGAAAGCCTCTGAGCTTTTCTGCACCTCAGTTTCTCAGCTGCATTATGGCAGTAGCATTCCTAACATCCCAGGGGATATTGTGAAAATATATATGTTAGAGCTTATGAGTTGTTTAATTAGAATGATAGTGCTATATAAATATCATACACAGATTAACTAAGACGTAATAGGGCCCATGAAATAGTGCATAGAGAAAAAGGAGATAAAATACTGAGAAAAAAAAAAATCTGCAGTGAGTTTCAAGTAAGGACGATTCAACAGTTCTTTAACAGCATACAGTGTATGCTTGGGAAGGGCTATTTATGATGTATAAGGGTGGATTTTGCCAAATATGGGGTCTTACAGGATTGCAATAGTCAAGATAAAAACATCTCTAGAATGTCTTGAAGACATGGAGCATAAAAAAGAGATGGACTGTTTCTTTTAGCATGGAAGAATATTTCTGGATCATACAGGGACATAGAAATAAAGAGAAAGTAAATCAGACTTGTTTTTTTGATTCATTCTCTTCAAGCCGCCTTTCTTCGCAGAATGAGGATCATGCAGATTCCAAGGGATCTACAGAGGTCATCTAGTCTAACCCACTGCTCAAAGCAGGGCCAGTTAGAGCAGGCTGCTCAGGGCCTCATTGTGTCTCGTTCTGAATATCTCCAAGGTAGGAGACTTTAAAGCTACTTTGGTTCCCCATTTCAGTGTTTCACCAGCCTCATAGTAATTTTTAGT